AAATGCCATGATCACGTCGAAGTCGGGAAACTCAGCGCGCACGGTTTCCTTGCACAGTTCCACACATCTTGCCATGACACGCAATGCCGCCTGCCGGGCGTGCGCAAGGCCATGGCTGCCCAGAAGCTTCGCGTGCCCATTTGTGAAAGCAATCAGCGTGCCTGACTCCAGAACTTTGACACAGTGGCTGGTAAACCCATGGAGCGCCACACATTGCTCGTGCTGAAACAGCGCCTCCGACGGTTACTATTATCCTGAAAATATAATCACTAGTCTTAACGGGGAACCCTAATAAATCTATAAACAAAAAAGCAAGTCCCAACCCTCCGGGTAAAATTCATGTTGCCTCCAAGCGGGTACAAAACACGCTGACTTCCTCATTCATGGACGCAATGTCCATGTTCTCGGAGTCCAAAAAACGTGTCAGCTGCACCGTTGTGTCCGCCATGTCAGCGCACATGGCCAACAACAAAAGTTTGTGTTGGGTAAGACCACTTAAAAAATCCCCTGCCCATTTTGCATCAGAGCCTTTCGCTGCGATGATTTGGTTCAGAACCGCCACGATTGCATCCAAGTGCAGGATAAAACGTGCGAGCGGTTTGCTGAAAGAGCAGAAGCGATGCTTGGCTGCTGACAGCGTCGCTCCAGCTTTGAAGCTGCTCTGCTTCACAGCATTCTTGAACCAACCGCTGTACGTGTGACTGTTCCAAATCTTTTGGCAGACACTGTCTTTGTTCGTGACTGTTTCCTGGCAAGGTCACATGTCCAAGGCTTCAATCATGCATACACTAAGTAGATAACTTACAGCCCTCACCCAACCCCATCATGTCCTGCAGCAAGGCGTGCAACTCCTCGTCCGCACTCCACGGCCGCGACAAGAGGCGCTGGGAGGCATGTGCCCGATCTCTGCCAATGATCTTCTGGCCCGGGAACAAGGGCGTTTCATTCTCAGCTGTGCTGGTCCTTCGAAACCCCGTGGCCAGGTTCTGCGCCAGCAACTCAGCCGACGCACAATCCGTTACCACCATCTGGCAGTTCTGTCGGAGCTTCTCGAACAAGTCCTTGTCGAACTCTGGGATGGAACCACGAAACCCCCGCGGAGCATTGTAGCGACTTTGGCAAAACGTTTCCAGGCCGCGACGCGTCCCCTGCAAGATTTCCTCCGCGTGGCCACCCGGCAAGGTCTCCAGGGCCAGGACGCCACTGCGGACATTGAGAGTTGCGCTCTCGCACAAGCGAAAGCGCACCATCAATTTACCGTGGCGCTCGTCCCGGATCAAAACGACAGAAGAACATTTGCGCGCAGCCGCCCTATGTTCATCCAACATTGCCTCGCTGATGCACCATCTCATCAAATTTGTCTTGTCGCTGCTGCCTCCTCCATCTCGAGCACTGCGCCCTTTTCTCATTCTCCTGAGGCAGCTTTGGAATTCCTTGGCAGGGGGCGCGACGCAACTCAGCACTGCGCCGGTGCCTGTTGTACAGTGCAGCAGGGCGTC